TTTTTTTTTTTTTTTTTTTTTTTTTTTTTTTTTTTTTTTTTTTTTTTTTTCCTTTTTTTGTCTTTTTTCATGTCCGGCAACGGATTGCAACCCTCAGTGTCGCGCCCGTACCGGACCGGGACCGGCAACGGGATTGCAACCCTCGGTGTTGCGCCCGCACCTCGCCCAGCCAGTGAGTGGGAACCAGTCTGTATGTGGGATCCGAACCCTTGGCGGGAGCACCACCGTGCTCCCAAGCAGCGCACTGTAGCAGTGCACCACCGGGCCCGCCCACACTCATATTCTTTTCTCTCCCCTTCTCTCTTTCTTTACCTCTTTTTTTTTTTTTCCTTCCTCTCTTTCTCTCCCCTGCCCTCCTTCCTCTTTTCCCACTTCTCACTTTCAGGCTTCTATTCATTAATCAATATGTTGTTAGTTAAACACACCAGCCACCAAAAAATAAATAAATAACTAAAAGTTAAGCACAGAGTCAAATACCTACCACTGTACCATATCCTGTGAGAAATGTCATGGAAGCAGATTGAAGACATACTAGTCCTTGAGGAATGTGATATTCAGTTAGTCCTCTTCTGCATAGTCTGTGCTCTTCTGGATCAAGTTATCTGTGATCTTTCCTGGCTTTCTGCCTTGGGCATGCCTTTGGTCCCTGCCTTGCAAATTATTCCATAATTTACCCTAATTTTGTCTTCACAGTGACCCAACCCAATAGGTCCCAAGTAGGAAAAGATGTTCCAAAGAGACCTTGATTGAGTTAGTCCTACACAGAAACTAAGAGAAAGTGTGAGAGGCACAGGAGAAAGAAGCATGAAGTAGGGCTTGAGTGAACATAAGAATGTGAATAGAAGGAGAGACCATCACCAAAAGAGAATTACAGAGATTATAAATCTTTATAAAATTAGAAAGATTGTGACAGGGTACATGTGAAAAGTAGATACATGTGAGACCTATAGGGTAGTATGTCAAGCCGAAACAATCTAGTGAAAAACATTAAGGCAGTTACGCTAATTAACGTATTTGTTTATGTCATGTACGATATATAATTGGAGCTATCAAATTTTAATCAAGTATTTTCTTCAATTTCTAGGCTTTTGCAGATATGCTGAAAGTGAACAAAACTTTGAAGAGCTTAAATATGGAGTCCAACTTTATTACAGGAGCTGGGATTCTAGCACTGATTGATGCTTTAAGAGATAACGAAACCCTGGCAGAGCTCAAGATTGACAATCAGGTCAATGTTCTACAATCATTACTTTGGGGAAGCTGCAGCTCACATTGCTGTGTAGAGCTTGGGGACTCACAAGGGGGTGGGAGGAGGGCTGTTGGGGAGCCCTTTAGGAAGGTGGTGGGCTGGCTGAAAGGGGATAAGAGGATATTTGGGGCATCCAGAATATTGACTTATTATATACAAAGGTATACAACACAACTCCTCCAAGTCATTTTTAGAGAATTTAGATTTCTGGCTATTTTGAACCAAAAGGATTTACTCTTACATGCAACTTAGTCCATCTTCCAATTTCTTAGTTCTGTGGTGGCAAGATCCACATTGTAGACTTTTTGTATCTGTAGTATGTCACAGTCCCAAATACACAGTTGATGAATAGAATAGGTTGAATGAAAGAACAGATTGCCCCAACACCCAGGTTACTCCAAGGGCACAGTCTTCTGTCCAGCTGAGTACAGTGCTAATGCATATGATAATGCTGGGTCACCCACACCCAGACGAACATTTAAAGAGAAAGAGAAATGTACATGTTGACATGTTTCCATCCAGAGTAGATATTAATTTTTTTATATGAAAAATAACGAGCTGTCTGGTTGGCTCAGTTGGTTAGAGTGCAGCCTTAATAATACCAATAATATCAGATCCCCATGCTGCCCAGCTGACAAAAAAGAAAAAAGAAAAATAACTTTAGTTATTTGAAAAAATATTTGGTAAATGTCCCCCTCAGTCCTTCAAAGTAAATAAATTTTGTAGACTATGAAGGTAGAAAATAGGATTATGTTTTAAAATTTAACCAAAATGCTTCTTAATTTATGTTTTCAATTTTTTTGAGATGTAATTCACATATAATAAAACTCACTCTTTTTAAAGTATACAATTAAATGATTTTTAATATATTTATGGTGCATTGCAACCATCACCACTAACTCCAGAACATTTTCCTTACTGCCAAAATAACTCCAAACCCATTAGCAGTCACTCCCCATTCACCCCTCCCACCAGCCCCTGGCAACTGATAGTCTGCTTTGTCTCTCTGTTTGCCTATTCTGGACAGTTCATGTAAATGGAATCACACAGTATGTGATCTTTCGTGTCTGGCTTCTTTCACCTACCATAATGTTCTGGAGGTTTATCTGTGTTGCAGCATATATCAATATTCTATCACATTTGGAGTGTTTGCACTTTTTGGCTACTAGAAATAATGCTGCTATGAACATTCGTTCATATCAAGTTCTTATCTGAACATACGTTTTCATTTCCCTTGGGTGTATACCTAGGAGTGGGATCGTTGTGTCATATGGTAACTGTACATTTAACTTTTTCAGTAATGGCCTGTTTTCCATAGTAGTCACCCCATTTTACATTCCTACCAGCAATGTACGAGGGTCCCAATTTTCCCACATTCTTGCCAACACTTGTTATTGTTCATCTTTTTGATTATACTTATCTTTATGGGTGTAAAGTGGTATTTCATTATGGTAATTCACACTTTTTTTTATGTCTGTATGATCATATACTAAGCTTTAAAAATTTTGTTTCTCTTATACATGCTGTAGGAATTGGGAAAATTTAAATGGGCCAACAGAAGCAGTGTGTGCCTGAATGTCTTGGTCTTGATTTACCTCGAAAAGTATTTTGATCTAGTTTATTAATACTATTCTTTATTTCTAATGATTACAGAGGCAGCAGTTGGGGACAGCTGTGGAATTGGAAATGGCCAAAATGCTTGAGGAAAATACAAATATCCTTAAATTTGGATATCAGTTTACACAGCAGGGACCCCGAACCAGGGCAGCTGATGCTATAACAAAAAACAACGACTTAGGTAAGATATATTAAGTCATTAAGCTAATGTATTGGGAGAACTTTTTCCTCTTTTAAAAATAAATTTTAACAGGGAGAAATTACTTGGCCTTTGTTTCTAAAATCTGCACAGTCCTTTTTATACTGATTGAATTAGAGTTAAATTTAAGTGAGGTTATAGTGATCAATTGGGTCAGTGGGTAAAATCAGCTTCCTGTGACAAACCTATTTCATACAAGTAGCTTTAAGTGAACAGTTTTCTATAACAAATGTTTTGTTCTCAACTGCAAATCAGTCCTTGGAGCTATTAAAACAAAGATTTCAACATTGCAAGGAAAGTTTTTGCCCTTTTTATCAAACTGACCTAGATAGAAATTCAATTTTAAGTGACAAAATGTAGAATAATTATTGTTTTAAGGCAAGTTTTATAGTCACTGATGTATAAAGGCTTGCTATAGCTACTAGTACCCCTAACACAACTGTTAGGGGCAGTTTGTCTTGTCACTGCACACATCTAGGTCAGTAATCGCCCATTCTATCATGGTTCCTGTTCAACCATGAGGCTTTGAAATAGGTTTTCCAGCTAAAGCCGAATTAACGCATATGGTGCTTATAATTTTGTCTTACATGTTTCCAAAAATTGACTCTTCTTTTAAGTTATGGTATTAGCCATTGAAGTATCTTAAAAGATGCATTTTAGACAATTAAAATAAGACTTCTCAAAAGAAGTAACATTTCAAAGTGATGCAGTTCCTTTAAGTTTCAGCCATATTTGAGTTTGCACTCAAAATTTTCTGGAGCAGAAAAAAATACAGCTTCATTCATTTAATCCAGATCATTGTGAAAAGTGCAAATTCAAACCCTTTTTGCTCTCTATATGACTAGTTTTCCATAGGAGATTTTAGCCTCTTGCTTTTTAAAAGAGAAAACTGGTATTTTCATGTATCGTTGATTCTAGATGTAGTTTGCAAACTTATGCTAATTGTTTTAAGTATTGGTTCACTAGTTAGCTTCTATTTTTTTTCCTCAAGTATTTAATTTTGCTTTTTAGAGCAGTATTTCTCAGTCCAGCTGAACTTCATAAATAATTGGAAAGCTTTAAAAATATACAGATTATTGGCTTTCCTTCCTTTAGAGATTCTGATTTAGTCAGTCTAGGGTGGGACTGGACATTGGGACTTTTAACACATACTCCAACTAATTCTGTTGTAGGCAGTTCACGCTTAGTGAAACTCTGGTTTGTTCTCCAGTTTTAAGTGGATATATAAGTTTCTGAGTCCATCGTTGTTAGACATCTTGAGCAGATTTGCCCCCATATACCCCTTACTTGTCACAGCATTTATTATACTTTTTTTTTTTTTTTTTTTTTTTATTATTATTTTTTTTTTTTTCCTTTTTGTCTTTTTTCGTGACCGGCAACGGATCGCAACCCTCAGTGTCGCGCCCGTACTGGACCGGGACCGGCAACGGGATCGCAACCCTCGGTGTTGGGCCCACACCTCGCTCAGCCAGTGAGTGGCCGGTCTGTATGTGGGATCCGAACCCTCGGCGGGAGCGCCGCCGTGCTCCCAAGCGGCGCACTGTAACAGTGCGCCACCGGGCCGGCCCCTTATTATGCTTTTTAAATTGCCTTTTACTTCATTCCAATTGTCTGTTTTCAAAGACTGGAAGCTTTTTGAAGGCAGGGACCATGTGTTGGCAAAGGTTTTGTCCAGCTTTTGAATCTGTAGATCTCTTAAAACCACGCTTGACACACAGTAGATACTTAATAAAAATGTGTTAAGTGAGTAAATAAGATGTAATAGTATAAGGTATAATTCATGTGAGGTGGTAGAATTTGAACCCTGCTCAATGTTACAGTGTTCTGCTAACTAAATAGCCATAAACTAATCCATAAGTGTCCATTTTTCCTCTCCTCTGAAACTACCTTAATAAATCTCACCAACAAATTTGTAGCCCTAAGCATCTCTGTCACTTAGATCCTTCCCAGCAGGCAGGTGATTCCAGCCACTGTCCCTGCAGGAGCTGCACAGTGAAAGCCCATAGGTGACATGGCAGGGACACCAACTTTGCAAGGTCTCAGCAGTTGTGCTCTTCTGCCATGCCTATTGTGGTAGGCACTTTGCTCAAATGTTTGTAAGAAAAGAATGTCCAGTATCAGAGTAAGGGAGATTTTGGCATGTGGGAGATGAGGGAGGCAGAGGAAAACTGTTTCCTAGGTTGCTTTATGTTGACATGGCACAGTTGAGTAGCTGTCAACAGCAGCATGTCATAGGGGATGAGGAGGCCATGTCAAAGATGCTGTAGTCTGATACAGACTTGAGAGAAAGCAAACAGTTTTGTTTTGGGCTCTCTCTAGAATCCCACTCAGGCTGTTTCATTCTGATCCAAAATAGATTTCCAGACACAGGTCTCAGGCATGAAATGACAATGAGGACATTCCTGGAGTGGGGAATTACATGGATAAAAGCTCAAATTTGAGAGCAAGCCAAGTTATTTATACGCTGAGGACAGCCACAGGTTTTGAGAACTGACTCTCATACCATGATGCTGGGTCCAGAATAAACTTTCAATAGGTACTTGTTGTTTGAAGCTAAAAGAGTAAGAGTGATGCCAGCAGATTAAGAGGGAGAGTTGGTAGAAGACACTAAAATTACACGGTAAAGAACTTAAATTTCTTTGGATTTTATGTGGGAGGCATTTAAGAGCCGTTGTAGGCCACTGAATATATGATTAAGATGATACTTCAAAAACAACTTACTACTTTTTCAGAGACAGAAAATGAGGTTAGTTAGGGCTTACTGACAATTGACTGATGATGAGGTGCTGAGAACTTATATCAGTGGAGTGGGTTTTGGAAAATTTGTTAATAGGGCAAAATTTGTAAGCCTGTCATCTAGAGGATGAACTGAGGAATTGCTGGAAGGTAACAGACGGGCACAGGTGAGAGAGAGGAGTCAGGAACGGCTCTTGACCCCATTGTCCTCTGCTCCGTGTGCACACAGCAGCTGCCTCCCATTCAGCTGCTCTCAGCTTGATTTTTTTTCAGCCATACACTCTGATCTCTGCCTATAGATCAAGGTGGAAAGCCTAAAGACCATGTTTCCTGACATACAGGTCTCAGCAACCTGTTATGTAGTAACTTAAAAGAGATATCAAAGAATAAGACATAAATGTGTACAGAATCTCTTGGGCACATAATTTTTCTTCACCCTACATATGGGGCTGTATCAGATCTTTGGTATTCTGATTTTGATAACATTTTTTCCTCTCATTGTTTTCTTAGTCTCAGCTATTCGTTGAAATAATTCTGCCCATTGTCCATCTCTCTAGCTAAGCAGTTTCACAGCTTTAACAACAAAGAGATTGTATGGTATACATGCAACCTGCAGTTGAACTTTGAATCTCTTGTTACTATTATCTTTATACTAGCTAACTACATAATCGATTTTCCACACCTTTTTTGTTTGCTTCACTTTGTCCAATAGATCTTGTTTATACTGTATATTTTTTATAATGTACTTTTAAGCATCTGAAATGGTTTGCCAATAACATCCAAACCCTGCTGCAATTCAAAATTTTCTTTGTAATGTTCTACCCTAAAGAATTATCTGGTTTGCCTTTCAGATGTTTCTAAGTTTATATTTGAGAACTTAAGTCTCCATTTGATGTTTTTCCCTTTATATTTCAGTAAACACATAAAGCTTGTTCTTTGTCAGCATGGACTAAAATTAGAGTCAAGGCAAACTTGATTAGATAAGTATAAAAATGTTCATGGCAACCTGGTACTTTTCTCTAGTTTTTTATTTTCTAGCTAACACCCAACCAATGGCTGGACAAGCTTTTATACACATCACTTGAATGTCTGGTCTCATCTATTAAAGGCCAACAAACAGAAGCCAGTGGCCAGAATGGCATGAGAGCAGAGTGTCTGTGGCCGGGCCAGAAGGCCAGGTGTACCTGCTGGCTTCTAGTTCTTCTGTCCAACAGCCAATTTATGCTGAAGAAAGAGGCAGTTGCCTTCCTGCTTGCTTTCATGGATGGAAGAGAGTAGGAAATTAATAAACCAACAGTCTAACTTAAACAGAGGCACTTACTGGGAGAAGTATCAAAACCAGTAACACGTAAATGCAAATTCTCTAGCTATAATAGCCAACTTGGCTTTCCTCACCTCGAAAAGATGACTGACCAGGGCCTCAGGAACATCTGTTAACCCCACTGTAGTGGATGATGAGGCTGAGTACTCTTTACTGAAGGCTTACTGTGTTCTCAGTACTGCACCGTGCAGTTTATCACACCTTTAGTTGCACAGCCATGAGGTACACACATCCTTATGCTCCTGTTAGAGGATGAGTTGAGGCTCAGAGAGGTTAACTTGCTGAAGAACACACTACAGAAAAGTCACAGAGCCATATTTATTACTATTTTTCACTGACTCCAGAACCTGTGCTTTTTGTCCTCTCTGTATAGGAGTTGGCCACCACGCCGAGAAGCCCTGAATCGGTGGCTCTCAGTGAATGCTGTCTGGTGGCTGAGAGGTGGGAGTGTCGGTAGCAACATCTGTAGCTGAAGGATGCCCTGCTGCTAGTGAGCATAGCTGAGTGGTTTGGTGTTGCCAGTCTGTGAAGAGACTGGGAGTCCTCAGACATAGGCACCTTCTCTACTCCATCAGCTGAGCGGGTTGGCTGGCCACTGTAGCCAGAAGTGACCTCACCACATTACCAGCATCTGAGATTTTTATTAATTTGCATTTGTTGTTTTTTCAGAGCCCTGAACCAGTTCATTTTATAGGAGACAAGAGAAGGAAAATCTGAAATCCAGTAGGAATCACTTAGCTTTAAAAATTACAAAAATGTTTTTGGTATGTTCTTTCACAGACTAAGGAAATACATTGTAGTGTCTAATGAGGAGAGCATGCAAATAGTTACTTTTATACTTTCTAACCCCAGCTGCCTGAATGTCATTTCATAATTTAACACAGTAATTTATTAATCACTTTTTAAAACCTAGCTATACATTTTTTCAATAAAGAAATGACTTGAAGATGATTGCTGACCATTCTGTTTTAGATTTCTAGCGCTGCTGCTGTGTAAGCACAGTGAGCTTAGGACACATGGTTCTTGTTTTGAGGCCCCTTGGTTCTTAACAGGTAAATGACAATGGTGAATAATGGAAAAAAGGTTTTTTTGTTGTTTTTGTTTTTTTGGTGGACAGCTGGTTTGGGAAAAAATTTTTTTATTAATGGTCATGTGAACCGGAATGGACATTTTGTTTTTGTAAAACTATAACTGGATTATACAGAAACTAATTTGTTACAAACCAGTTAGTACTGTAAAAACTAATAGGGATTTCTAACATACTTTTTCTTTTTCTCATAGTGCGCAAGAGACGAGTTGAAAGAGACCACCAGTAAATCTGCCAAGTTCAAACTTTGGAAGACTTCAGAAGACCACTAGGGGCTCATGTTGGTGAATCAGATGTAAAATTTTCCTGGGTAGAAGGGAAAAGACTGGAAATTTTTCTTTTTTTTTTTTTTAAACTACATGCATCTTTTTTCTAGTTTAAGTTGTTATCAGTTTCAAATTGTAAAATCAATGATGATATTTTATATTTTGAAGTATTTCTACTTTCTGCTAAAATTAATTGTAATTTAGCTTATGAATGATTTATAATGAGTCTTGGACCAAAAATACAATTGTAAAAAAAAGTTTTAGAAGTCATTTATGTAGAATAATTTGAATGTTTTGAGGACCAATCTTTTTTAAACAAAAAAGGGACATTGTTGATATCAAAATTACTATTGCTTCTTTTAGGTATAAGACATTTAAAAGCTTTCTTTACTCCATGACCTGGAGACCTTTCCATTTTTTAGAATACATGAACTTGTCAAGGGTGTGGTCTTTCCTTATTAAGAGAACAAAATGCCAGAGTTTTAAAACAGATGATTCAAAACTCTGGTCATCCATTTAGAAGAAAAAGCAGATGTCTAGGGGGAAAAAATCACCATCTGCATGTTCAGGTTATTGCACTTGTCTGATGTGTCTCAGCAACACTTAGGTTTTTTTGAAACAAAGTCAGTCATCAGCTTTGCCAGGTTACATATTTCATTTGAAAGTATAGTTATGTCTAAGTTCATTACAGTTTTTCACTTAAACAATGTGGGCATTATTAAATTTTTGTGAAAGCTAATAGTAAAAAGCATCTGAGTAGAAAAGCTATTTGCTTTTTCATAAAAGGCATATGGCCAACTCAGTTATTTAAGGTAAAAGAAAAATGAAAGCTGCTGTTGAAATCAAAGATGAAAAAAAAGATAGTGAAGATGATGAAGCTCAAATCTGAAGAGCTTGCAACACAGTCGTTTAAACTGATGCTTACTGTAAGTGCATTAGAAGCTGGTGTGTGTATAAACGACTGGGCATTGCACAGTGGAGTAGGAAGATCCCATGCACAGGACAGAATTCCATACACAGTATTTACTCACTGCTACAGATTTTCCAACCAGTAAAGAAAACTGCTCTTCTTCATAAATTTGATTTTTGGTATAAGCTTCCTTTCATCTTGTACTTTTTAATCCATATTGTGTGAAAGTCATTTCTATAACCAGAGTGGTCTTTATTGCTCAAAGTATTAAAGTGAACAATTGAACAGTGTACTGTGGTGGGAAGACCAGTGTGAGACTGCAGAACTGTTACCGTGACAGAGGATTTAGACTTGTATGCATGCCCTATCACAGGGCAGCCTGTGGAGCAAGGGATGGCAGAGTCATTTACAGCTGCAGAAGACAGGGAGGAAAGGAATCTGAGTAACCCTGGCCTCAGAACTGAATTCAGAGCTGGCTGTATCATTTACAGGGAGATTTTTTTTTTTTTTTTTTTTTTTTTTTTTTTTGAGTTATAGAGAAAATTTACTGCTTACAGTTTCAAAGGCTGGGTCGTTCAAAGTCCAGGGAACACATCTGTTAAGGATCTTGTGGGTGACTTCAGTGATACAGGGTATCACATTGTGAAATGACAGAGCAGAGAGAAAGAACCAGGGAGATATTTCTGAAGGGAAGAATCTCATTTCTGATGGGGGGGTTGGGGAGGGGTGAAGGTGGTATGTTACGATCAATTTTTTTAAACTTTTCAAAATTGAATTGCAAAATGTCTGCTACTTCAGCTTGGGCCAGACAGTTTATCTGATGAGCTAGACAGCTTCTTGTATGCTATGGTAATAAGCCTTCCCAATAGGCAAAAGCTACCCTCATGAGAATTGTGTGTGTTGGTTGTCTTTGTTTTTGTTTTCATCAGTATCCAATGTTTTAAAGGGGCCAAAGATCAACTTTGCACTATTCCCTATAAGTTAAAGGCATTTGATTGTTTCTTTTTCTTTTTTTTTTTTTTTCTTTTTTTTTTTTTTTCTTTTTTTTTTTTTGAAGTTATCAAGGCTTGCTTTCTTGCTTGCCTGTCTGCTTTCCTTCCTTCCATCCTTGTTTCCTCCTTTTCTCCCTCCCTCCCTCCTCCCCTCTTCTCTCTCCTTCCCTCCCTTCCTTCCCCCCCACCTCCTTCTCTCTCCCTCCTTCTTTCCCCCCTTTTTCTTTTCATATACGACTTTTTAATTGTACTTGACTTTATAGAGTCTGCACAGTTCCAGCAAGGCATGCAGCAGGTATCTAAGGCTACCAGAAAGAATCGGTCACTTGACGGGCCGGCCCGGTGGTGCACTGCTACAGTGCGCCGCTTGGGAGTGCGGCGGCTAGTGCCGAGGGTTCGGATCCCACATAAAGACCGGTTCCCGCTCACTGGCTGAGCGAGGTACGGGCGCAGCGCCAAGGGTTGCGATCCGTTGCCGGACACAAAAAAAGACAAAAAGGAAAAAAAAAAAAATCGGTCACTTGTACTTTCAGCTAGGCTTCCTTGTTTGCATTGTCCTATAAATCAATAAATTGATAAGTATGTTCCCCTTTCCTCCCATAATTTTTTAAAATATAGGTAGGTGACCCTACCTAGAATTTTATACCATACTTAAGGGTAATACCTTTTACACTTACTATTTATCCAAGTATGAAGAAGTTGAGTACTTTGCTGTACCATTCCAGTTTTGTGCTATGACAGTTCATTATGTAATTGAAGAAAAGATTTCTTCATAAATAACTTTAAATATGAACATTTGTCCAATTGAATATGGAGAATCTTTCAGTTGTAGTTATAAGATAGAAAAATGATGTTTACTTTGAACTTTAAAAATCTGGCACATCTTAACCTTTTAGTAACTTTTAGTATTTCTAAATTGCTCTAAAATTTTACAATAAATTGACTAATCTTGATTTTAAGCCAAAGATTTTCTAAGACCTTAAGTTTTATATCCTTATCAGTTTAAACTTATCTGGTTATCTAAAAGAATATTCTTTGCATTTTTAAATTGCTATTTTTAAAAAAGCTCTTAATTACCCATTTTATAAAATTTTATATTAGTATTTGTCTGAAGTTCTAATTTTTCTGGTATGCTACATGAAATTGTATGTATTAGAAACTCAATATTAGAGGCTAATATTAATACTATTAAAGTGGGTTTTGGTGCTATATATGTAGCTAAAGCCTAGTAAAAGTTTAAAGAATAGATAAAATACATATTCTAAGGGTACCTGTCATTTAAAAGACCAAATAAATATTTTGTGTTAAATAAATAAACAGATCATTAGAGATTTCAAAGAGAGTATTCTTGGTTATTAAATTGCAAATTATTGTTATTTGAATGAAATAATCCACATACTTGCTTTGTGCAAGGGGTGCATTCTGGAAAAGTTACATGTAAATAGAACTTTGTACATTGTTTTCTAATTGACCAAGTATCTGATGTTTTTTCATTTAAACAGGAGATTCCATGATATAATAAAAAATTATAAAAGAAAAAAATGTTTTGATAAAATGTTAGTCGTATTGTATTGTACATTATATTTAACCCTTGCTGCCATTAAAATAAGATGAAAGAATTCATGTAGTTTCATAAAATCTTTACATTTTTGGCTCTATGTTCCCAGGGCTGCCTCACTTTTTCCTATAAATCAGGAATGATTTTTACCCCCCAGGGGATCTGAGGATCGTGCTTTCTCTGGAGTGCATAGCCGCTTCCATTCTCTGCAAGTTTAGTACTGTCCAACTTTGCTCCCTCATTACAGTCCTAGCTCACTTTTGAGTAGTTGTGACCGAAGACATTGCACCCAAGAGAACTGAACACTGGATGTACTAGAGACAAGTCCTGTTACTGCTGTCAGACAAGGGGTGTGAGTTCTTAGGCCTAAACATCTATAAATCGGTCTTTTCTATCACTTCTCACTGACCATTAAATGTTTCTAGATATTTCTTACTGTAAGATTTGCTTACCAAACGAATCAAAGACACTCTTCACTAATTTTATTTATTTTTATTTTTTTGTTGGCTGGCTGGTAAGGGGTTCCGAACCCTTGACCTTGGTGTTACAACACCATAATTATTTTTAAATCGAGAATATAGTATTCATAGGCAAAGATTTCTGTATTTTTACATCATATTTTAATTTGGTCATTCTTTATGTCATGTTGATAATTTTCTCCACTATAATTCAGTTCCACAGGTCCTTCAATTTTTATAATCCTCTATAAAAACTGAACAAATTGGAAATTTTTTAAATAAAACATTTAACATTTTATTAATTTTTTTTTTTTTTTTTTTTTTTTTT